CTGATATCACAAGACAAGAGGCGAGAGCATTGTGAGTCCTCTATCAAGATTGGGAGATCAAAAGCCCATTAGTTGTTGCCAAGATTGAAATGACAATGAGATCGAGACACAATGAGGAGATTAGTCAACTAACTACTTGTGAGATCGTGCTTCCGTAGGGGAGACAGAGACCAAGAGGAGTGACAATGAGGAGAGACTGAGCACTGTGACATTGTGACCTACCATTATTGAGATCAATAAGAGCAAGGAGAGCATTGTGAGGGGGGTGATTGATTGTCATTATCATTTTACCGGGATTGACTGTTGAGTGTGATTATAAGAGAGAGAAAGTGATGAATGACTAGAGTGGTGTTAGGGTTTTTCTTCTTTAATGTGCATATTTATAGTTGAAGACAATTAATGACTTGTTAGACATATTTAATTAGTTATTAGCCTTTTCATCGTCTTTTCTTCTGAGTTTCTTCGAAAACAAGGCAATGGCACATTGCTTTCGGTGAGGTTGCGTGCTCACGGAAAGTAAGGAAAGTAACAACTATATGTATTTATTGCTTTAATGAAAAGTAGCTAAGATAATACTGGTAGAGCCAAGTGCTATATAGGTATAAAGGATAAGGATAGATATATAAGCATTTAATCCTATCCAAGGTTGTGTTTAAAATACTTTTGTATAGGTGAAAAATTTAATACAACACTTAGAATATGAAAGAAATGAGAAATAAATGAGACTCAAAAGTCATAAGTTGTGAAACAAAAAACAGAGAACCTTTTTGTAAAAGTGCTAAGTAGATGTTTAGGTATAAAGAAAATGTATTGGAGTAGTTTTATGCAAAAGATTGTGATTATAGATAAACTATTTGGGAATAAATGGTGGCTATAGGTGCCTATACCCAAGCAAGCAAGATGTACCTAAATAAAGATGACAATACCTAAATAAGAACATTTGTACTGGTATAGCAGTTCAAATTGAAGCTCAGGGGAATAGAGATTACTATATCAATATAAGAGAAGTTTTAAGGGTATAAAGCTACTGTACTAATATAATAAATACCCATACTAGTTTACAGATAGAAGGAATGAATAATATACTTATATCGATGTAAAGGCATATATAAGAATAAGGGATCAGTATACTGGTATAAACACAATTATTTTGGTATAAAGGAATAACTTAGACAAGGAAGCTTTGGTGTTCAAAGACGATGAATGGGAAATTATATTCAACTGAAATGCTTTCCAAATAGGTATAAGAAAGAATTTAAGAGAAATCAAATACTTAGGTCAAAAAGAATCTCATAGAATCAAGACTTAGAAATATAAGAGATTCAAACTTATTCTGGTATAAGGAAAAAAATAAAAAATCAAAGAAACAAAGTTTAAAGCATATGAGTCCAATTATCCTTAAATTCCACTAAATACAATCAAAATAACTTGTTAAACAAAATCTTTTCTATTTTATAATTATCAAAATTAGGGTTCAACACACTCAAATACCTAAATTCTTTTTTATTATCAATAAAATAAAATTGAAATTATATAAAAATTGAAAATATTAATTTTTAAGATAAAAATTGAAATTGATTTAAAAATAAAAATAAAATAATATTTAACAATTGGCTATATGGCCTATTTATAAAGTTAATAGATACTTGTTGACTTAAGGATATTAGAAGTTTCTAAAAAAAAGTTTATAGGTATTTTTTATACATTATGTTTGCTTCATTTTTTTAATAGCCAATGTCAATATACGTTAATCAAATTTAATGGAATGGGTACAGTTGCACTCATTATAAGTTATAACAAGTTTATGAATATTTTTACACATTTGTTTATGTAAGGTTAGTGAGTGCTTTTGTAGAAAAAGTTGATATGTATTTTTGTCATTTATTATTTCACCCCAATTTCCAATTCTTCCAACATTCTCTAAATTCAAACTTTCAACCTCTAATGACCATGTAAATGTTTCATATAAATTTCAATATTAAAGCACCATTTCAAATCTTATAAATCATTGCTTCAATCCTACAATCTTTCAATACCTCATAAATCAACCTGTAAAATCCACAAATTTACAACCATATCAATCCAACCCAAATCCTTTTAATTAAGACTCAAAACTAAGTTAAATTAATTCATCTAAATCTCAAACACACAATTTAATCAATATAACTACCCTATATATCACAAATCATAAATTCAATAACTAAAACCTAATTTTAAAACTCCAAATCCATCAACAGAGCAAACTTAAATCAATATAATTTAAGTATTAATTTATCTATACTGTCATATAGTTCCCATTTGTTGAAACTCAATATTTACTCTAAATCTTAATCCTAAAATTTGCTTTACTCATCAAAATATTACACCATTTGAAAGCCCTAAATGAATGGAAAAATATTTATGAAGGAAGTTTTGAGTATGTGAGTGATTTTGAGTATGAAATCTTACCCTAACATTCTCCTCCTCTAGCAGCCATGGATGCTAACTATTGACTCCTCTCCCTCTTGCACATGTCAAAGAAGATGGAAAGAATTGATGCCTCGTTTAGTACACTAGAAATAATTTTTATAACAATAGAAATGGATATGAAGATGGAAATGAATATGAAAGTGAGGATGAATATAGGATTTAAAAGCATGTTTGGTATATTCATCGAATTGATAGATTATTTTTATTTAATATTGATATTTAAAATAATAAAAGACTAAAATGCCCTCGTCTAAAAAAAAATCAACCCATCATTTTGCAACCCATAGTAACTTAGACTACCAATGAAGAACAATAACCATTATCCACGGCAAAAAATCCCTAAAGTTGTGTTTGGATGGGTGAATTTCAAATCTCATATTTCAAATTCATAGATTTTAAATTCTTTGTTCAGATGATATAAAAAATTTCAAATTACAATACTAAAATCCTTTAAATTTAAAATACTAAAGTAAAATTTTAAATTTTAAATTCTATATTTGAATTTAAAAGAAACTTGAAAGATTAGTTAAATTTGATGATTTGAATGGCCAACTTCCAACGAGATTAGATAAACAAAGTCGACAACAGGGACTGTGGCATTAGTGACGACCGAGACAGGACCTCTAGCTTCCATTGAGACTGGACCATCGTAACAGCAGGGACGAAATGGCTAACTTTTACCAAAACTAGAACCACGTCTGAGTTCTACCAAGATTGGATCAATGCTGACAACAAGGACCGGACAGCCAACTTCCACAGGACCGGACAGACAACAGGGACCAGACAGCTGACTTTCACCGAGACCAAACCATAACAACCGACTTCCACCAGGATTAGACCCACGGCTACAACGAGGATTGGATGACCGACTACTATCAAGATTAGACCAGTGATGATGATAGGGATTGGACAGTAGACTTTCACTAAGACTGAATTGACGACCATGACAGGTACCAGACGATCAACTTCCACCAAGATTAGATCAACACCAACGATAAGGACCAAACGGCCAACTTTCATTAGTACAAATTGATATCGATGACGGGGACAGCACGGCCGACTTCCACAGACACTAGACCGTACAGACGATGATGTAAACCAGACTGATGGGATGGCGATGAAAGGTGACCATTTGATCCTCGTCCAATGTTTAAAAATGGTTTTAAAAGGGACATTATATAGAATACTGGTTGTTAATGGCAGTTCTGTTAACCCTTAGTACACCTAACTAGCAGGGTGTTTATAGGAGGTGCTAGTCTCATGCAATGGCCAACGCACATGGAACGGATGGATGGTTATTCGTGAGCATCATACTCACATTTGTTTTGTGGCTTCGGCCGTGTTTGGTTACGTACCCTCATGGATTATGTGTTCATGTTTGTTTTCTTGACATAATCCGTATTTGGTTATTTACTTTCGTGAACTGTGTGTTCACGTTTGTTAATTGTTCTGATAAATTCCTATAATTATGAATCCAATCGTTTGATGATTTTATATTTTATTGATTTTTATTTAGTAATTTGTTTATAAATATTTATTTGATTATGTGCTTTCTTGAAATCAAGTGATATTATCATTTGCTATGATAGTTCAATGATTTGAGATTTTATTTGAAATTTATAAAGCCATTTTATTATAAATTTATTAAATTTTTACAAAAAATTTTGTCTATTTAACTTATATAACTATTTCAAACTTTTCATTTTATTTATGTTCTATTATTTATTGTGGGACGTTATTCACTGAAAAATTATTTTGGTCTCAGATACCTTAGCTGACTTTAATCTTCTCGCCGATCCTTGAGCACTTATAGACAGGTGGAGGGTTAATTGAAATTTTTCTTTTAATGTAATTATAAATGTTTATATATCTTATTTTTTTTTATTTAAAAAAGTATGAATATGTGCTCCACATAAGCTATAACTAGGACTTTTATTTTGATATATATGCTGTCTAACAGTTGGAAGGAGCTAAGCTCCTAATTTATTTGATATTTTGATTGGATCAATGTATTGTAGAAATTTTGAAAGATTTTATTTACAAGAGGGGTTTTGTCAAAATTTTTATGAACATGTTGAAACTTTGTTATAATTATTGGTGTCAAAAGTGTTATAATTTTAAAATAAATCTGATTCAATTTTAGAAATAGAGTGAATTTACAATTTAAAGCTCATAGGGATGTATGAAACAATTCACATTCCGTGCCGGTTGCTCTTCAAATTTTGGGGCGTGACATGCACGGCTTTGTCATGGCCTTGTATAAAAAAGGAGATATTGTTTTGCTATTAATGATGCTTGCTATTTATGCTTATAACAAAAATAAGATTAAAATACTCTCATTGTCCTTCTATTTTGCCTTAATTACATATATCTAAATATATAATTTGTAACACCCTCAAATTTATAAACCGATTTTTCACAATCATTAATTCAATAAATTATTTTTTTTATTGAACCCTCATCATACCCTTATCATGGTAGAAAAATTTCTACCATGGTACATCCAAGACAATATACCACACGCCTTAAAATATCTCAAAAAGCAATTAGAACCATGAGGGACAGACAGGATCTTCATGGCATGATATTTAAATCAGGTCATGAATCAAGAGGGACAGACATAATCCTCTTGGTCATATAAATACTTTTAATAAAAAGGATTAGAGTTTACATGCTTCACAAAGAAGATATGTCCTAAGTTGGCACAAGATACATTGTATAATCCAAAATAAGAGGCAACGTAAAAGATGGTGTCTCATACACCATAGTTACACCTCTGGTGCTTTCTCGGCCGGACTCGCTCCTGTAAAAATGTTAACCACGGGGAATGAGACTTGAAAGTCCCAGTAACCAAAAATTAATATGTAATGATGCATGCGGATGTAACTAATCATGCGATTGCTAAGTGGGCACACAAAACATTTAACCGAACAATATTTTCAAACAAACCGAACAAGTATTTAATTGCATGACTACACCTTATATCCTCCTTTCACCATGCTCGGACGCCAAGTCACCCGGCTAAAGGTGAGTTGGACTAAGCAACACGCCACTCATTGGGTCCAATAAGGGCTTACCATGTGGTAATAATTAACCGAACAGAAATTCCCATTAACACCATACATTAAAATACCCTGACAAGTCATGCATCATTCAAATATCTAAACAGAAATATATCCGAACAATAATATCTCATCATGATAAACAAAAATAAATTTTTTACCCACTTGGCAATAATTTCAAATAAGTATATACAGTATTTATTTTCAATAATTCATAATTTTTCCCAAACAACAAAACAACACATAACCATTTACAAACACACCCATCACAACACATTAATAATGGTTACCTTGTGTCTTGAATAACAAGTTCCCCTTCACAACTCCTTTTTCACCACTATCTTTGTCAATATAATCTACATAATTATTTCACAATACTATATATTAATTTTACATTAAAATAAATAACTCTAATTTAAAGAGTTAGAAAGTCTTAGATCTATAATCCATATTAACAATAATTTAAGATTTATGCCTCATTTAACTTCCCAAATTCTTTTCTAAAATTCTCGTACCCTAATAAACTATTTTTTTATCCTCAATTCATTTCTAGTATCATAATTTCATCCTTCTATATTATAAAAATTCACCAAAAATAAATTAAAAATTTTAGAATTATTCTGAAACCTCAAATCACCTTTCTATAACCTCAAAAATACTTATTCATACTTAAATAAATATTTAATAATCATAGATTTATCCCTACATATCAGATTCCACATAAATTCAACCATATAGATCTAGATTTTAACTCAAAAATTCTTAAATATGAGTTTCAACCTCAAGAAAATATTCTATAATATTTATTATATCTCTAAGAGTTTTAACCTATATTTTTACTCCATTATATCATCAGATTAACTATCCTATAGAAAAATCCTAATCAGAATATTTACTCTATCCTACAAAATAATCATATCAGTAGAAAGCTAATATTATTTAGAAAATAACTATAAAATTAATTTTGTAATTAAATAAATTTTTAAAAGCTAATCTAAACAGGAAAGTTAGAACATACCTGAAGAAAAAAAATAACCCCCCCTGCGAGAAAACGCCGAGCAACATGAGAGGAAGAGAGAAAAATAATATAAAAATAGGATTGTGAGTCCCAAAATTATATTAAAAAAAACTATAAGTCTGAATTTAATTATTCAAACCTTTGGGCTATAAGTTGCAATTTCCTCTAAATTGCATCTTAGCCTCTCATGCTTCCTAATGCACACACCCCCTCCTTTTTATACATGAAGGCACCTCTTCTCTTCCTTCATCTAACCAATGTGGGACTTAGAAACAACAACCTTCTTCCCCCCCTTTTTTTTTGTTCCTTCTACCTTCTCTTTTTTTTAACACACAAAAAAAATTATTTATGTATTATATCTTAACTAAATATTGCTTATGTGGTTTTAAATTTAAATTTTTAAATTTATAATTAAATACCTAACCATAATATTATTTCTAAATAACCTCAAATAATATAAATTCCTATTATTATCATTTTTTTCCTCAAAACCTAAATTCCACAATTTTTTTATTATATAAAAATCAGGATGTTACATAATTTAGTCCAATCTGTTAACTGTGTTAGGAATATTCTAAAATGATTCTCAAAACTTATTTTTAATTAATATTTATATTAAAATAAATTTTATTTACTAATTTACCCATCACCATAATAAATCTTAAATTATATCATTTTGACAGTTATATAATTTCATTGTTAAACACATGTTTAAAAATTTTAAATTTAAATTATTTATATAATCTCTCAAATTTATATTATTTTATTCATGTGATGAACAATAATATGCGTTTGAGATATGCTTTTAACAATTTTAAAAAATAAGTAAATAAGTTCTAATAAATTTGATAAAAATAAAAATTTTATAACATGATAAAAATTAATAAATTTTATAATATAATAACAATTTAAAAATGCATTTATTATTATTTTTATTTATTAAAAATATTTTTTTTGAAAAATATAAATTTTTAGATAATTCTTATGTTAAAGAGAGGTATTTTGGTCAAATTAAAAGTTTAAAAATCAAATTTAACTGCCAACCAACAGTTAAATAGATGGAAATAAAATTTCAAATACATAAAGAAGATTTATGTAATATATGTCTTAATTTTAAGGAAAGTTTATATGAGCTTTCAGATAGAGCGAAATTTTGCATAATTAAAATATTGTATATATAAGGATTCTTACCCCAAAAAAAAAATGCAGAAGACAAAATTAAGATAAGGATTTACTTGGGAAAAAAAAAAAAAACATAAAGACTATGCCGGAAACTGCTGACTCGCACGTGTTGGGGCAATGGCAATCGTAGAGCAGCAGGTCCTCAAAGTTCCGTTATTGTTAGTTCAATACTATTAGTATACCTTGCGGGGGGAAAAAATCAAGTACATCAGCACATGTTCTGTGGCGGAACCATAGAAATGGCCACCATATTCCTCATATTATCTTTTGTCAGTTTTATGTTCCTTCTGCATAAAGTCTTCCCAGATCTGATACAAAAGAAGAATAAAAAGAAGCGAGCACTAGGTCCGACGACTCTGCCAGTCATCGGGAATCTCCATATGTTGGGTTCACTTCCGCACCGGACCCTTCAATCATTAGCCAAACGATATGGTCCGATCACGTCCTTGCGGCTAGGGCAAGTCCCAGCGGTTGTGGTCTCTTCTCCTGAAGCAGCCGAGCTGTTCCTAAAGACCCACGACGTAACATTCGCGAGCCGACCCAAGAGTCAGTTTTCTGTGTTCATCTTCTTCGGCACCAGTGGGATGGCGACCAGTGAGTATGGTCCCTACCGACGCAACATGAGAAAGCTGTGTATTCTGAGGCTTCTTAGCTCGTCAAAGGTCCAGTCGTTTGGCCCTTTACGGAGGAAGGAGCTGGGTTTATTAGTTACGTCGTTAAGGAAAGCCGCTGCGGCGCGTGTAGTTGTTGATCTTAGTGAGGTTGTGAAGAAACTTGTGGAGGATATGAACCATATGATGGTGCTGGGTGGCATAACATAGATGGCCAGTATGATTTGAAAGCACTTTCTGAGGAGAGCACGTGTCTGGGTGGGGCATTTAACCTTGCAGATTTTGTCCCTTGGCTAGGAGCTTTGGATGTTCAGGTATCAAAAAAGCTTATCACCGTAATTCCTTTTGCCATTATATTTATTCTGGAAAGGTATGTGTGCGGACTGTGGCTTTCTATTAATTATTTTATTGATTTACTAAGACCAGTGAAATAGTAATCCTTAAAATATTAAGCCCAATTATATTATGTCATGTGATCATACATTTAATGGGTTTAACAAGATTTATTATAGGTCTGGTAGTCTGGTTATTAGCGACTAACTTTTGGGCCATTAACCTTATTAAAGCTTGAGGTAGATGGACCCGATAAAGATTATTTAATGCTCCCTCAGTCTGTATAAAGTTAACAAACTCTATACTTATTAAAACATATTAGTTATACCTTTGGAATGGTGAAAAAAATATGTCATTTTTTACATTTTATCTTTTTTTTATAATTAATAATTATAATAAATTGTTATTTAAAAATTCAAATAACAATAGATATACAAGAAGTAAAATTGAAAAAAAATTAATTTCTCTAATTTTTATCTTATATTTAGAATTAAAAAAAAAAAAACTATAGCCTCGGTCCCTCTAACTCTAACTGAGTGCGCTCTTTCCTGCTAAAAGCTGCATAACTCTAGAAGTGTATAAAGAAAAAGACTTGGGTTGACTAGCTCAAGTAGCTTAGTGACTAGTCAAATCAGGTACCAACTCACTTTGACTTGGGTATTTGTTTAGTGTTTTTTTATCACATACACTAGATCCTTGTCTCATATATGTTAATTGGATTTTATACTTTATACGCCAAATGACTAATTATTTTGACTCTTCATTTGGCTAGGGACTGAAACGAAGGTGAAGAAAACAAGCAAAGCACTCAATGACATGCTGGAGAAGAAAATAAGGGAACGGGAATAAGCTTCTGATGTGCACAAAGACGAGGACTTCAGAGACATCTTGCTCTTGCAAATGAACCAGCAGCCGATGGATTCCAAAAGCGAGCAAAAGCTTGTTAATCGAACTACCATCAAAGCTATACTGATTGAAATGACTGTAGCAGCACTGGAAACATCTGCAGCTGCAATTGAGTGGGTTTTATCAGAACTCTTAAGGCATCCAAGAGTGATGAAAAATCTTCAAGATGAGATAAAAGTATGGTTGGAATTAGGAGAATGGTAAAGGAAATGGACTTAGTGAAATCTAAACACTTGAATTTGGTAGTGAAGGAGACCTTCAGACTCTACCCTGCAGGACCATTATTACTTCCTCGAGAATCAGGGCAAGAAATCATGATTGGTGGATATCACATTGAGGAAAAGTCTAGGGTTCTTATAAATGTATGGGCGATAAGAAGAGATTCCAAAGTGGTTAAATAATGCTGAAGCATTTTATCCAGAGAGGTTTATGAGCAACGGCATAGACCTTCAAGGACAAGATTATCAACTAATACCGTTTGGTTGTGGTCGAAGAGGTTGTCCCGGGATTGAGTTGGGTCTTAGGACAATGAAACTCGTTATAGCTTAATTAGTGAATTGTTTTGATTGGGAGCTTTCTTTTCGTACGAGTCCTACAAACTTGGACAAGAGTGAGAAATTTGGACTCTCAATAACAAGAGTGATTTACCTACTAATAATTCCAAACTGTCGTGTGTCTAGTGAAGCATTTGAAGAATAAACCTATCTTAACTGATACATGATGATACATGGGAACACATACACACACACAATTTGGAGGAGAGGAGGGAGGGGAGGGGGGAATACCCCCAATTTGGAAGGAGGGGGAGGAGGTTTTGAAGGGGAGGGGAAATTTTAAAAAAAATTTCCTCTCCTCCACCTTATCAAACAAGGGGAGGGAACCCCTCAATAAGGTGGAGGAGAGGAAAATTTAAAAAAATTTTCTTTCCTCTAACCTTCAACTAAATAAATCTTTAAATTTTTAATGTTCTTTAATATAGAAGTTTTTTAGAATCCTTAAATGATATTTTTTTCTTCTAAAAAAGTATAGATTGAGACTTATATTTAGAAATAATATAATACTTTATTAGTATTTTGGCTTCTGATTAATGGGGAACTCACTAGCCAATATAATGAAAGTTGAGAAAATATGTCATTTTCTAAAAATAAAAATGTTAAATAAATTTCTAGAGACTAAATAATAACAACAATGCTTATAATTATTTTTTGCATATTTGAAACATATTCTATTGTCATTCTTTTTATTTATTATAAAATTAATATTTATTCAATCAAATATTCTATCAAAAGGGCGCAATTTTGCCTTTAAATTAATTAAAACAAAACAAATGATCAACATTAAAATTTCAATTAGTATTTTCTAATAGTTAATATTGGGAATTTGATAACAAAGGCAAAAATATTCTATTTTAATTACTTTAAGTGTAAAATTACACTAACTAATAGTTTAAAATATTGAGTGCTTCTTGAAGAATAATTTGAGGGCAAAAATATATATTTATCCTATAATTTTTTAGGTTTGAAGTGAATGAAAGGACATGAGTTCCAACCACTGAACAAAGTTGGAATAGTGTGTGTCCCTTTTATAGTATGATTGACTCACTATAGTACTCGACTTAGCCTGACCAAACCATGTACAATCCAATGTAAAAAAATAAAACCTAATGTAAGATCAAGTTGACTAGCCTAAGTTATGACATAGGATCAAATCGGGCATAAGACTAAACCCTTTAACCAAATAGTATAGTTTGACAAGATGCTTTATTATTACAATAAAAATCTTTTCACCTCTACCAAATACTCAATACTGTGGCCTCCTCACCTCATTCTCTTGTTCTGTATCCCTCTATCCTCTCATCTTAATTCTTGCATCATTGTCAAAGACCCAGAGACTATATTGATCTCCCTTCTTTATCCTTCCTTGCAGAGGCTCCCTCCTTCCTTCTTCCTCTTAGGCGCCGATCTGCTTCCTTCTTCCATATCTTCTTCTAATTTGTCTTTGCATTCACTTATAAACCTTTACTTGGTTTCATCTCCTCTTTAATTCTCTCTTTCCCTCATTCTCAAACATTTAAAGGGTTTTTCAAGAAAGAGGAACAAAAGAGGGGCAAATGCTTGGAAGGAAGAAGAAGAAAGGTGGAAAGTATACAAGGAGTAGGGGTATTCAACTTGTACCCATTCTAATTGGCCCGTATCATCTCGATTATATCAAAATAGGTCTCATCCAAGCTTGAAAACAATTGGAACGGGATAGAAAAGGGGTTTGGAATGAGATGAGACATAGGATTACTATTAATACATCCCGCCCCATCCCAAATATTATATATATATTATTTTTTATTTTAAAAATATACATTAATTATATTAATTATATTAACATAAAACATACTTAGATTAATTATATCAATTATAATTTCAAAACATGCAAGTATTATTTAAAACTAAAGTTTTATATTGATAATTTTAATGATATAGAATAGACAGGGTGATATCTTTCTTTATAATATATTAATTATATTAATATAATTCATTTTTATATCTATCTATTTAATAACTTTTTTTATATTATATTTTTTGCTTTATTTTTGAAAGAATAATTAGTTTAATACATCTCAACTAAAGTAGAAGAATAATAATTTAATATTGTATTTGACTGGCCTGTTGCTGCTGCTTTTATAGCCTAAGGATCACTTGTAATTATTATTATAATGTGTAGTTATGATTAATATAATTCAATAATTAACTTTAAATTGTTGTGATTTATGTACTTGTGTTGTTCTAATTTTAAAATTAATAAATTATATTGTTTAAAATTTTAATAAATATTATTATTTAAATTTTTCTTTTACATTGTTCAATTTATTGGAATGGCGGGACATTTCAATCTTGTCCTTGTTCTATCCCAATTCTTAATAGGATATGACGACTTTTGAAATTGGATGGAACACAAAACAAAAATTTACCTAGTCTTTTCTTCAAGATAGGACACGAGACAGGGTGTCTCGGTCTCATCTTATGCTGTGAACACCCCTAATGAGGAGGAAGAAGAGGTGAGTGGATGGCGGCACAAAATGACAAGGAGGAAGAGGGGATAGGGTTTCAATGATTTGGGTTAGGCTTGGGATAAACAATAATGGGTAGGTTACCCTTTTTTACCCCCTTCCTCCTTTGAAGATGTTTGATGCAGTATTTTTATTGGACCAGACCTTTAATGAGTTGGGTTAGGCTTGGTGAAACGAATATGGGCGGGTTGCCCCTTTTTCCTCCCCTCCTTGCCTTTTAAAATGTTTGATGTAGTATTTTTTATTGGACCAGACCTTTGAAAGGTCTGTTCTGGCCTTGATAGAGACCAGGTTAGAAAAGGTCTGGTCTTAATAGAGACCAGGTCAGACAAGGTTGCAGGTCAACTTTTTAAACCCAGTGCTATTTAAGATTGGTCATTGGCTTGGGAAGTAATATGGTCTAGCCCGGTCTTTGCACACCCCGTAATTAGCCAACACCCAATAAGGATTGCATTTTCAATAATGAGGTTGCAAACCACCACGATGCTAGACACTCATTCTCCATTTTAGCCGGGCAATTAGCTTCAAGATGCCCATAATGTCTACAATGAAAGCAAGCAGAAGGAAGACCTTCATACTCAACATAAATGACTTCACCATCAACCTTGATCTTTGAACTGGGGAGGGGCTTAGTGAGATCAATAACTGCTGCTAATCTGGAAAATTTCCCTCTATCACCTGAATTGGTGTTATAATCAACTCAAATAACCTTACTGAAGACACTCCCAATAGAACAAATGATGTTCTTATGGTAATATCTAGCCAGGAGACTAATAGGGCCCGTTATTTTCTTAAGACATATCAGAGGAAGTCAAAGGGGAAGAATAACTCTAGTGGAAATACTTGAACTAGTCTAGAAGTTTACCCTTCAGTCCATAGCCGTAAGGAACAGTATTTTGTGATCTTTTGTAATGATTGGGATCTTTTGGGTAGTATGGGCGATGTGTCAGCCGCTGAAGGTATTATTAGTCTTTTGTTTAGGAAGGGAGGGCTAAGAAGAAGGAGATGGGAATAGTAAGGAGAGATTGGCCTCTCGAATGCTAATGGGAGTGAGACTCTTGTATTGAAGCTTGTAATCTGTGTTGCTAGAGTGTTTTATCATCTTCTAGGGGAAATAGGGTTTTGGGCCAGAATCAGAGTTTCCATGTACATCTGATTCGGTTATTTATCTCATTAATATCAAAACCTAAGTATTTTCCTCTCATATTAATTGCTGTTGCTGTCTTATTTATTACTCTTTGCTGTGATTCTGGTTTGGGACACATTATTTGGTATCAGAGCAGGTACAATCTCTGGGTGTGGTGTGTAAGGAGATATGGCGGAAAGGGTCTAGTATGCTGATCTGGAGGTACAGGAACTGAAGGAAACGGTTGGGGTATTGACCCGAGATGTAAACGGTATTAAAGAAACATTGAAGACTATTAATGATGCCTTGGTGCAAATAGAGAAGAAGATAACCGGGAAACGAACAGGAAGGTCATGAGGAGGTTTCGGTGAGCAACCCAGGCGGTGATACAGACGGAAGCAAATATAGAAAGTTAGAATTACCTGTTTTTTCAGGCGAGGACCCGCTAGGATGGCTTTTTCAGGTGGAGAGATATTTCCATGTTAACTCCATTGCAGAACGAGATAAGCTTGAGGCTGTGGTGGTATGTCTTGAGGGAAAGGCATTAAACTGGTACCAATGGTTGGAGACCAGGATACCTTTGAGTCACTGGACGGAGTTCAAGAGTGAGCTGTTACGCAGGTTTCACTCCACTCAGCCAGGGGGGGAATATGAGCGATTGTTCACATCCAAACAGGACAGGACGGTGCTGGAATTTGTTGAAGAATTCGAGCTCTTATCTGCGCCGCTGAAGGAGGCCTCTGAAGAATGCTTGATCGGTGCGTTCCGTTCTGGGTTAAAACCAGAGATCAGAGCTGAGTTGAAGTTAACGAAAACTCCGACACTGCGAGAGCTGATGGAGATGGCGGTGTGTATAGAGGAGAGGAATCGGATACTTGGAGATTGCAGAGAAACCCGGATCACCCGAACCCAACGTCCTCAGTTTGGGCCTAAACCCGAAACGCTTCAACCCATTTATTCCACACGAGTTGCGCACGTGACTGAAGGGAATCGCAACACGCACACTGCAACGTCTTCAGCTGCCGAAAATTCAAAGAAAACGGATACGAAAACAGAGCATTCCAAGGCTGCGAGCATTTCGAATTGGGGATCGTCGACGCAGAGGACGGGAAACTCACGACGACTCTCTAACGCTGAGATTGCAAGGCGACGTGAGTTAGGACTGTGTTTCAAGTGTGGAGATAAATACAGCCCGACCCACCAGTGCAAAAACAAGAACCTTCAGGTACTGATAATGGAGATGGGGGCAGAAAAGGAGAGAGAGGAAGATGACGCAGAGGCTGAACTTGAAGGAGGGGAATTCGAAAATGCTGATGAAGGGGCACAGATGGAATTATCTCTCAATTCCATGGGTGGATTCGGCGATAATCACACTATAAAGGTTAAAGGGAGGATCGGAGGCACTGAAGTGATAATTCTGATTGACAGTGGCTACCCATAACTTCATAGCTGAAAATCTGCAGAGTAAATTGAAATTACCTTTTGATGAGATTTATGAATATACAGTTACAGTGGGTGATGGGTTTGTTGTAAAAGGGAGGAAAAGGTATAAGGACCACTGTTTGAGTGTCCAGGGGTACCAAATCATTCAAACCTTCTATCCTTTCACGTTGAAAGGGGTTGATGCAGTCTTGGGAATGGAGTGGTTGAAATCCCTGGGGGATGTGAAGGTCAATTGGAGCGAGTTA